GAGATTTTAACCAAGGAAACGGGGCGTATGAGCAGGGGTGAGCTGGGAGTCGCCAGTCAATCGCGTCATATCCGCTTACCTCGGTTTCCGCTCGTACTACGTGTAGTCCTGGACAAATGCGGTAGTTGTAGTTGTGCGTTAGCGTCTATCAAGCAACAAACGTCAGCTTGTTTCGCGCATTTGTTATGGAATGGAGCACAATTGTTCTTTTCATTTATTATCGGAATGTGAACTGTTGGCTGTAAAGGGGGTCACACACCGGACGAGAAGCGTCGCGCCATGTGTAGGACAACCCCACAGTAACGACCACCGGACGCGCACTTTCTCATCAGTGTATGGCCAGCAATATTGTTATGTTTAATGACATGAAATGAAGATAATGTCTGTTCTATGTTATGATTGTACTGTACAATTAAATACAATCGTTGCTGAGTCTGCATTCTGAAAACTTTACCTCAGAGCATCCGTTCACTGAATGAATTGAGAATCTCACCTGAAAAATCTAATAATAACATCAGCAATTGTCATTCAAGCAGCTAATTTCTGTAAATGACTGCAAAACTAAATGCATATTGCAGCATAGGGCGAAGTCAGGATCCATTAGCAACGATTTGAGACAAAAATAATTAAAATTTTATATAAAACTGTGTAAATGACGCTCTGTGGCACAGCAGGATTTTGAACACGGTCCTGAGGCGTTGTTGCTGGTCGCCGCGGACAGACGCTGAATGGCGCCGCCGGTATGTGTAACGTTACACTTGTAGATAATAATGTGTTCGAATAATTATGTGGTGCGACGCGGCGCTGCAGCTTCTCGTCCGGTGTGCGACCCCCTTAACGTTAATTTTGTGAAACTGTAGCTGTGGTTGAATACTTACACGACATCAAAAAAGATGTGTCAAATGTACATTAAATTGATTTTTTATTTTTATAAAGTTACCAAGGAGGACCAGCCACGTCAACTCCTTGCAAGAGACCTGCCCCTTCAAACCCTCTCCACCATAGCTTCGTCCAGTGACTCGTACAGTAACTAATTTACTTTTAAACCTGACTTTTCTTGCGGTTATTTCAGTTTAATGAAAAACAAGCATGTCATTAAAAGCAACGTTTATAGAAATCGAACTTTACCTCATCCATGACAACTAATTTTCGATTCCAGTCTGACTGATTTATCCACGGTGGAGTTGAAAACAACAGTTCCCATCATTCCGCGTTCCTCCACGTCGTCATCAAGCAAAGCCGTTGTTGTTGTTTTGAATGTAGCGCCCTCTAGCGGCATCTAAATCTTAGGTATTGCAGCTTTAAAGGGATAGTTCACCCAAATATTGAAAATTAGTCCATGATTTACTCGCCCTCAGGTCATCCTAGGTGTATATGACATTCTTCTTTCAGACGAATTCAATCAGAGTTATATATATTTTTTTTAAATGTCCTGGCTCTTCCAAGCTTTCTAATGGCAGTGAATTGCTGTTTATGTTTTGAAGTCCATAAAAGTGCAATTAAATCCCATTCAAAGTCGACAAGTTTTTGCAGAAGTGAGGAAACCTGTAGGCAGTGGATGTTCTTTTTGCACAACTTTCCCAGTTTCTTTTAAGTTACATGTCCTTTCTTTGTTTTTGATCCACGTTCAGGATTGATGACAAGAGAGCATCTAAAAGGCAGAAAAGAAAAAAAAAGACAATGAAATATTGTGGACTGACGGTGTATATTTTGAGAGAGAGTGTCCTTGCAATGTGTTTACTGCATATATGACTAAATTATAATGCTAAAAATACCAGGCTAAAAATCATGTTTGATATTTTAGTTCAAACCGTTTGTGTCTGTCAGTCATATAATGGAGGTCTATGGGCTCCACCTCAAAGAGCATGCAGAGAGAAGTCCAAATTAAACATGATTTAATAACTCGTAAATGTAAGTACACATTGATGGCCTAAGACACGAAATGAGCGGTTTGTGTGAGAAAACGAACAGTATATAGTTTTTACCTCTTTGTGGCGCTTTGTGGCTGTGGTTACAAGAGGTAAAAACAATATAAATACTGTTCGTTTTCTCACAAACCGTTCGTTTCGTGTCTTAGGCCATCAATGTGTACTTACATTTACGAGTCATTAAATCATGTTTAATTTGGACTTCTCTGGGCATGCTCTTTGAAGTGGACCCCATAGACCTCCATTATATGACTGACAGACAAGAAAGTGTTTGACCTAAAAATATCTAAATTGAAAATACTGCGGAAACAAAGACACCTACGTCTTGGATGCACTTGAGGTAAGATAAAACATATCAACAATTAATTTCAAAGTGAACTATCCTTTTAAATCTGAGAGCTGGATCACTCCATAGGTTTCTAAGGGATTGAAACTTGCCGGCCCCTAAAAGTTATTAAAGACATCGTTAAAATAGTCCAATGTGAATACAGTGGCTCAATCTTAACTTTATCAAGCGACGAGGATACTTTTTGAGTGCGAAAACAAACAAAAATAATTACTTTACGTCAACTATTAATTTCCTTCTCTGTGGGCCTCTAGTCAGTTCGAGTGAGTTCACTAGTGTAACAGCTTAAAGGAACACTCCGACTTTTTGGGACTTTAGCCTATTCACCTTACCCCCCAGAGTTAGATAAGTCCATACATACCTTTTTCATCTCCGTGCGTGCTATAAGTCTGTTTGACGCACCCACCGCTAGCCTAGCTTAGCACAAAGACTCGATGTGAATGGTTGCAGCTTTCATACTAATCCAAATGAGTGGCAAAATAACGCAAACGTTTTCCTATTTACATGGTGTGATTTGTATAGTCACATAATGTACAAATAACAAAGTCAAATGAGACACAGACATCTTTTAACCGTATAAAACCTGGGAACTATTCTCTGAAGGCGAAGCACTGCTACTTTGACGGCGTAATAACCGCATCACCGGAGACACGCCGTGGTGAGGAGCGGAGAGTTCGCTCAGTGTTTGGGTAACAGAGTCAGCAATTTATAAATAGTAAAAGCGTAGTTTAGAGTCATGGGTTTTCGCTCTATTGTAAATAGCTGCGACAGTAAACAGGGGAGGTAACCATGTTTCACAGAATTCCAACTAAAAACGCTGACTGGATGAAGAAATGGCTAACTTACTCTGGATATTTATCCAAACACACCTAAGATTATCAAGGGACATTATGTTTGCTCGGTACATTTCAATGAGGACGACTATTTTGAAAAAATGGAATTTGCCACACGGACCATAATGTGCTGAAGGATACGGCCATCCCATCTATAGCACAGACAGGACAAGTGGATCACCTGCGGCTGAGGTAAGTGTTCCGTTATGTTTTTAGATGACCTACTGTAACAGCGCCTAAATTTGAAATAACCATGGAAATAACGAACTTGAGCGTGCAAAAGGGTACGATAGGCTGTGAGTTCATTGTGCAAAAACAATTTGTGCTATTACTTTCCCCTTATTCTATCCTATAGTAATGCAATACTGTATATTATATAGGCTACTGTTGAATACATTTGGTTCAGCTAATAAATTGCATTTAAAATATATTGATTCCTGTAATAATAATTATTTATTCATGTTCTGTGATATTTATAAATCTGGGTGCGTTTTTGGTTGGAAATCAATGAAACATGGTACTGTATTACCTGGTCTCCCCTGTTTATTGTCACAGCTCATACAATAAAGCAAACACCCGTGATAAACTATGCTTTTCTATCTAACGTTACGTGCTGACTCTTTATTCCAACGCTGAGCGAAGCGAACTCTCTGCTCCTCGTCACGGTGCGTCTCAGGTGATTGTTATCACTCTGCCCAAGTAGCAGTGCTTCCCCTTCAGAAAATATAGTATTTATACGGTCAAAAGATGTCTGTGTCTCATATGGCCTTGATATTTGCACACTCTGTGACTATACAAACCACAACATGTAAATAGGAAAACCTTTGCGTTATTTTGTCACTCATTTGGATTAGTATGAAAGCTGCAACCATTCACATCCAGTCTTTGTGCTAAGCTAGGCTAGCGGTGGGTGCGTCAAACAGACTTATAGCACGCACGGAGATGAAAAAGGTATGTATGGACTTATCTAACTCTGGGGGGTAAGGTGAATAGGCTAAAGTCCCAAAAAGTCGGAGTGTTCCTTTAAGCTTCTGTTGTTGTACGTCACACACATGACCAGTGTCGGCCAATAGTGAGCCTACGTGTGTCGTAGCTCTACGCTTATCACACTACGTTATTTGACTAGAGGCCCACAGAGAAGGAAATGAATAGTTGAAATAAAGTTGTTATTTTTGTTTGTTTGGTTTTTTTTTTGTGCACAAAAAGTATTCTCGTCGCTTGATAAACTTAAGATTGAGCCACTGTAGTCACTTGGACTATTGTAACCATCATCCCTTTAAGCTAAGTCCTGTATGGAAACCAGGGCCATATTGCTATCCCAGTAGTCAGCTGACAAAGTGTTTGTGAACAAAAAAAAATCCTTAAAAAGCCCTTAATAAATACTGTCAAGACTAGTGACACAGTTTAGTCTATAATATGAATGGCAAATATGATCATGACTAACCTCTGAACAAACTCAAGGGTGCATGGTGCCTCTTCCTGGTACTGCAAGCTGAAGTTATAAGAGGAGGCAAACAGCCTCACCTTGACCTTCCAAACTTAATATCCAGGACTGGATGCTTAAAGTCCCCGTGAACCGGAAGTTGCAAACGATTTTTCTCCAGTGCTGTGACGTATTTCCAAGTGAAACGGAATATTGAACAGAGGGCAGGGTTTTACTCTAGCGCTCCTCCTCTCCATCTCTCGCTCATAGCAAACTAACGGTTTGAGGGGAGTGGTTAAGCGTTTCCCCACCCAAACTGTGAAACCTACGTCATCAACCGTTCCAGACCGGAAGTAACTTTTCAGATTTTGATTAAAGATTACCAAGGTAAAACATTTTTTTAATATATATTTACTTGCACGGATTAATTGTTCACCACAAGACTAGTAATATGCGCTAACAAAGTAAATAGGTTCAATTTTGATTTCACGGGGACTTTAAAGATTGACCTGTTATTGAAAAAAATAAAATAATATTAATAATTAAAGTAACTATTTTGGGCTCCACTGTTAAAAGAAATCTGAAACACCATTCACAGGATTCACCATTTCATTTCTGTTTTAGTAGTATTTTTGTGTAGGGATCATCAATACAGTACTAACTTTTATTTTTCATCAAACCCTATCGTATACCCACAGAACAATTGTAGCACATTGCATGGGATCATTCTGTGATACTTTTGCATCTTTTTTCAAAATCGTGACGCTAGGCACTATTCACTGATATTATATGGATGAAGGCATGCGTGACATTTTTTTTTTTGTATTCTCCTTTAGTGGTGTTACATGATTTATGACATGATTTCTAAATGACTGACCGAAGAAATAAATAAATACAAATACAAAATAGTGGTCAGAAAAGAAAAAGAAAAAAAGTCATACGATAACACCCCACTGCAAAACATACTTTTACTTAGCCTACTTAGTATTTTGTTTTGTTTCCAGACTAAATTTCTAGACAAGTAAAAATGATTGTCTTGTTTTCTGAAGAAAAAAAATTGTTGCATATAACTGGCATATTATTTTGGTTTTGAGCATACACTCACCTAATTTTGACTTATTCTTTAAGAAAAAAAATACAAATTTTAGCTACTTGTCTATCAAATGTTTCATGTTAGAATTGAAGATATCCGGACTGGAAACAAGAAAAAAAAAAAACCACTGATTAAGAAAAACTTTTTTTTTTTTTTGCAGTAGGGTGACTAAATAACGGCTTACAATTTAAGGGTAAAATTGTTTACATACCAATAAATAAGGTGTGGACCCTGGCAAATGTAGATTGCTGGACATCTGAGTTGCAAATTCCTGAAACATTTTTTTAAAAAAAGGACAGGACAATCATAATCATAATCAACAGAACCAAAACATAAAACATATTACAGATGAATGAGATTTGTTGAATAATTTTTACTTATCTGTTTGAAGGATAACCGTCTAACTTCTCTTTGATGTGTGAGTAGCTGTAGGAACATAACGTTATATGGCAATCACCGTAAGCATTAGGAACATAGATTTTCATGTGCTGGCAATATGCTGACAACGATTCAAAAGCACGACCACAGAGAACTGAGTCTGACGCCATAGCATTTATGTTACATTTATGTTAGCATTTAAGTTACCACATAGATTGACAAACGTTATAACTGTAATACTTAAAAGCACTTACATTAGCACTGGAAGTGAATCAGATTACAAAGCCTGAAACGAAAAAAAAAATATATATATATATAGCCTATATCTATATAGAAATGTAGAAATGCGAACGCAAAAAAAAATAAACTGACTTACCGTTTCACTCAGTTGAACAATTATCCATCTTCTCAAACTCTAACCTCACATAGCGTCACAGGCGATTTTCTTCTTCTTCTTCTTCTTCTTCTTCTTCTTCTTCTTCTTCTTCTTCTTCTTCTTCTTTGACTGCTTAACGGCGGATGCGGACTTACTTAGCGCACTACCGCCACCCTCCATGTTGTAGGCCTACTTGATGATCATTATAGCTAAAAAAAAAAAAAAAACGTACTCTCGCTCAATGATCCTAGTGTTCGTTAAAAATTCAAACACATATTTTATTATTCTATGGTCGGAAGCTTTAGACAAAATATCTCCAAAGATAAACCTTTCCCCACTACTCTCTATTTTCCCTTTCATTAAAATCTTTTCTCTCTTAAATTTCTTACACATCATAAAAACATGTTCCACTCATGTTTTCCTATTAGCTGTAATGTTTTGTTTAGTCCAGTGTGCCCTATTCTCATTCTTGTAAACATTTGTTCGTCTCTTCGACATCTTATAATCAGACGACCTTGACCAACCTCATTTATCATGTAAAAACCCCTCCCTTTATCCCCCTATCCCATTTATCTTGCCACAGCTTTTTAACATGTTTTTTTAATTATTGACATCTGACTTTGATAATTTACACATAATAGACACATTTGCCGCTTTCAAAGCTTGTTTAGCAAACTTGTCTGCCTGCCATCTCATTACCAACCTACATGGGCCGGAACCCAAACAAACTTTACATGTGTCCCCCCATTTTGAATACTATGAAGCAAAGTCAATATCTCACATACAATATCATATCTCTCACTCGAATTACCTAATTTAAAATTTTCTAAGGCTGACAACGAATCTGAACACACAACTACTCTCAGTGGTTTAATTTGTTCTACCCGCTGAACGCCATCACAATTAGTTCTGCTGAGTACACGGACAAATGATCTGAAACTCTTGCATGAAAATAAATATCAAACTCTGGTATCACATATGCAATTGCCACTTTTCCTGTTTCTGGTTGTTTTGACCCATCAGTAAAGATCTGCACATATCCATAATAATTATCGACATGTCTCATAGCCATTTGACCACTATCCCCCTTATAATTTTTAATATTTTCATGTAAAGTTATATCAACATCTGGAAGCATTATCATCTACGGTGGGTGCGGTGGACAGATGGACTAAATTCAAACTTTTCTATATCCGCTTCTTTTATCTTTTCGCGTATACTTGCACTAAATGACTCTCTCTTACTTTTTTCCTGCTCCCATGTTGAAATAAGGACACTTTTAGTTGGATGATCTTCCATATGCCCCTTTAAATTAACATAATATGATAATGACATTTGAAGTCGTCTCAACTCAAAAGGCACTTCACCTACTTCAACCTGAAGCGCTGAAATATGGGAAGTTCTCATTGCTCCTGAACACAGCCTAAGGGCCAAACCCTGAATAACATCAAGCTTCTTTAAATCAGACTTTGCCACAGACCCATAAGCTATGCACCCGAAGTCAACAATAGACCTCATCAACCCCACATATAATCTTTTCATTAAAGTCATATCTGCTCCCCAGTCCTTATTGCACAAGCATCTAATTATGTTAATGACTTTCTTACATTTGTCAACAACCTTTTCAATATGATTGTGCCAGGTAAGTTTAGAATCAAAATACATACCTAAAAATCTCATACAATTTACTCTTTCTAACTCTCTATCATACATTCGAAATTTAAACCTTTCTTCAATTTTTTTAAAAGAGAAAAATACTACCTTAGTTTTCTCAACAGAAAACCTGAATCCCCATTTTCCAGCCCATTCTTCAACCAAGTCAATAGCTTTTTGCAAATGTTTAACAATGAATTTAACATTTTTACCTTTTTTCCAGAGAGCGCCGTCGTCTGCAAACAATGATTTGCCTATACTATAATCAAGTGTATCATATATATCATTTATCATAATAGAGAACAGAATTGGTGAAATAAGACTTCCTTGGGGTACCCCATTTTCCAAAAATACGCAATCAGAGAAGCTACTGTTTATCCTCACCTGAATTTGTCTATTTCTTAAAAAGTCCTTACTCCAAAAATACATTTTCCCATCAATTCCAAGCCTTCGAATTTTAATTAACACACCTTCCTTCCAAAGCATATCATATGCTTTTTCCATATCAAAAAATATGTCAGCAACTACTTCTTTACATACTTGGGCCTTCCTTATATCACTCTCCAATTTAATAACTGGGTCCATTATTGATCTTCCTTTCCTGAAGCCACTTTGAAACGGCGTTATCAAATTCTTAGACTCAACATAAAAGGTCATTCTCTGCACAATCATTCTCTCCATTACTTTACCTAGGTGAGATGACAAAGCAATTGGCCTATAATTAGAAGCCATAGTAGGATCTTTTCCCGGCTTTCTAATTGGGATAATAACAGCCATTTTCTAACTCTTTGGTATTTTCCCTTGCTCCCATACCTTATTAAATAACTCCAATATTAAGAGCCTCACTACAAAGATGTTTCAACATTGCATACTGTAACTTATTCTATCTTTTCCCGTCGCTGTTACCTTCGCCTTGGTCCTCTACATTTTCTAAAAGATATTGGTACTGTCTTTTTGTTGCCGCTCTATTGTGTCTTTCATCATCAGTTAATTTGAGACTACTATAAACATTGGCTATACTTTTGACCATTAACGTTGCATTATCTTCATCGTTCACTGCCATAGTTTCACCATTCTTAAGGACTGGATAACTCCAAGATTGCCGCACTCCACTCCATTTTTTTCCTCCATTTTCTGCTGCGTCACAGGCAACTAATGTTTGAAACACGAACCGAAGCTCACAAAAGTTTTAAAAAATGCTCACAAATGAAAATACAGTTTATCTTGATAACAGGACTTATTATTCTGTGCAGTTGAATCCCGAAGACATATCAAGTTTGTCCGTGCGTCTGATTTGAATTGAGCGCGAAAAAAATCAATCCCACAATGCAATGCCTTTACAGTGCAATACTCTATTACAAATTTATCAGGATGAAAACAGAAATGGGCTGTATATTTACAGCTGTTCTGTAAAAGATACAGCATAATACTGTATTATGGAAATACAGTACAATACTGTAGGAATTTCCCTGTAAATTTACACTAAAGGGTTACAGTGTACACTTAGTTTTACCAGAGTTTAACAACAACTGAAGGTTTTGGAAGGAATATTGAATAGTATTGAAACCCTCCTGTAGATTTTTTTAGCACAGTATCTAACGAAGGGCCTGATGTATACAAGATGGTATCATCTGCATAAAGATGGATTTGAGAGTCCCCAGCAGCAAGAGCCACATCATTGATGTAGAGAGAAAATAGAGTCGGCCTGAGAATCGAGCCCTGAGGCACCCCCATTGAGACAGGCATGGGTCTCGACAACAGACCCTCCGATTTACCACGCTGTTCCCTGTCGGGGAGATAATTAGAGAACCAGGAAAGGCAGTAATGGGAAAAGCCCAGGCAGTTGAGTCGGCTGATGAGAACACGGTGGTTAACTGAGTCGGTTAACTGATGGATCGATGTAAACGGCTGCACAGTATTGCTTTTTATCAATGGCGGGCGGCTATGATGTGACTACTGAAATGTTCTTTGCATGTACTCTTTAATGTGTGGATTTGATATCTGAATGCAGTAACATTGCTTGCTCATTTAGCTCAGCTTCCAGAAATGAAATGGGGATTTGTTTTATGTTTAAGAAAGGTCTTCAATGCGTTAAAACATATAGGGGTCATTGAAGCCAATAGTTTAAGGGACCATTTCTTTGTTAAAGTCTTACTTCAGTTAGACTAAAGTTTAGCTATCTGTGAGAGAAAGAACACATTATCTTGAGAGGACTTTTCTGTTTATAGTTAGAGCCTAGCCAAATCCAACCTTGGAGAAGCAGTGTGTCAGTGTGTGTGTGTTAGTCTTCTTGGTTGCAGGTTAAGGAACCACAGCCATTATTGGAGATTGACTGAGTTGTTCTGGACATATGGCGCCAGCAACCCAAATCTGTGACCTGGAAGGTCATGATGAGTTTCTGAGTCTCAGCTGCATAATCGATGGAGATATGCTTCCGTCTATCTGTATATGTGTGTAAAATTACTGTGTTTATCTATTTCTTAGCCAATGAGAATCATTCAACGTGTAAGCAATGACGTAGACCTTGGAAATGGTATAACTTCTGTGATCTTTGTAACTGTGCGAGGTGGCCTACAAACTCCTGTGAGAGTCTTGAAGCTGACTTCTGCTGATGAAACTGCAAACTATCTTCAGTAAAACCTTTCTTTATTTTATTTTTTTTATAATTCTGACTCCGGGTCTTCATTCTTCATATCTGGTTCTGGGTCTTTGACTGTATACCCCTTACCATCTTGCTTTCCGCAAGATCTCCATGCAATCTCCATCATAATGTAACTTTGCAATGATAATGCGAGGTTTGTCACCCGGTTTCCTTGGGGGGAGACTGTGATGCGAACAGTCAACTTTCACATCTCGGCACATTTCTAGCATCTCTCTCAGAAGTTTGGATACCGCTGCGGGTGAACTCGAACCATTTTTCTCAGGAACTCCCGCGATTTGAATATTCCCCCTCTGCATCCTCCCTTCCATATCTTCACACTTTTCTCTCAAGTCGTCAACTTGGCTGGTTAGTTACTGTGGTCTGAAGAGTACCATCTCATCTGACCAAGTGGAGAGCCCCCCCTCGATGTCTTTGATGTTCTCTTTCATATTGTCGATTTCAGAACGCGTGGCGGCGGCGCTGCTCGCGATTTCGGACCTCATCGCCTGTAGTTCACTTTTTATTAGGGATCGACCGATATGGATTTTTTAGTGCCGATACCGATACCGATTTTTTTCCCATCAGCCTTAGCCGATGACCGATACGGGCTGCCGATTTTCTTGAGCCGATATTTGGAGCCGATACATTTTGCTCCCTCAATTTACATCTTAAAAATAACATGATGTTAACAAATGTTACAGGTCTCAATTTAATAAAAGTAACATTTAACTAACTTCAAAAATTAATATTTAACAAATAGTAAAAACATGTGAGGTAGAACAAGAACAAGTAGATAAACAATTTAAAAAATATGAAAAACATGAAGTAGAACAAAAAAAGTTCAGTGCTGAAAATGAATATTTAAGCATAAATTAAATAATTACACTATTGCACAGAGTAGCAACCAGCATAATAAAGTGCACAGTGCACACTGTACTTCATTTTAAAAGAAACGAACTATGTACTGCATGGTTTCAATTTTCCTACATAAAATAAAATGAGCATGTCTATAATATTACTGCGATTGCGAGGGAGACAAACTCCACACGCCCCAAACCTCAGCCAGGTGAGCGCTGAATAAATCTCCCACAAAAAGCACAGAATAACGTTGGCATTCCTTAATCCTATGACCAGAGTTCGTTACCGTATGCATACTAGGGCTGTCAAAATTGCTCAAATGGCGTTTGCATATTCCCTCTAAAAAACATATTCGAACATCCCGTTGCGCGTTTTGTTGTTGACGCGCATTACATCAATAACAGGACACATTAATAAAAAGAGACATAACTAGTATTAGATGGTTTATTTGAGTTTTCATATTTGACAACGTATTAAAAAGCAAGTAAATCAACTAATGGCCAAGACCGCAGAGCTCACTCTGTCTCGCCCTGGACTCGCTCAGGCACTCTCTCTCTCTCTCGCCCTCACGGTCTCTGCGCGTCGGTTAAATGAACAACAAACAAATGTTGAGTGCTAAACAAGAGTTTTGTGCAAGCAATTTAAGGTTGCGAGTCGCGACTCTTGTCCTAAATATAGCAGGCTTCATTCAGTGATTGAAGTTTCACAGTATAGAACCGACAGTGAGCGCTCCGAGCGAGCTGTGCAGTTGTGGTAACGTTTATTAGTCTGCAACCGCGGGCGTGTTTTTCCACATTCAAATGTTAATTTTCACCTTCAAAATTGATAGATATTCGAATGTAGAATATTCATAGACAGTCCTAATGCATACTGAACGGATAACCTACACCTTAACTATTTGCAGCTTCTTAATACAATGGCAAGCAGTTAAGTTTTATAGACGAGGCATTCGCGTTTTCCATTTGTACCCACAAACTTGCTTAGTTGCAAGCACATAACAGTTATAGGGCGACGTGTTTCCATTTTCAAAGTGTTTGACAATATTTCAGGAGTCAAACATTTAAAAGATCCTTTGAAAGTTTAAGTTACCATTCTCGTGAAGAGCAGGTTGCACTCTGCTAGTGGAGGAGGGCGGGGCACGTGAACTGCAGCATCTCCAGCAGCACGGAGCTGCCCGTGGCCGCCTGTCTATAAATAACGGCGGGAAAAAAAAAAACTATCGGCGAACGCGCAGCGGTGTATCGGCCGATTCCGATACACGTAAAAACCTCAAATATCGGCCCGATATATCGGCCGGCCGATATATCGGTCGATCACTACTTTTTATGGTATCGAAATCTTTAGCCTGTGCGTTCTTCAACTCTTGCTTTATTACAGATGATATATCCGATCTCATAGAGGAAAGAATGTCCGCTTTTATTACTTCAAAGTCCATATATATATGTTTATAGCAGATCGACTGGATGCACTTTGTCCCGAGGCTTTAGGTCTTGTGCTAGTAGTAGAACCAGAGTACTTATATTTTACGGAGATTCGCTTCCATCCGCACCTATAATATCAGACTGTGTTGTTTTTAAATATTTTGCAGCAACTTTCGACCTGAAAATGCTGCTGTGAGATTAAATTTTTACGGATTCTGCAAGAGCTCTGAAAAACATGTCTTACTCCATGTCCCCTCCCCTCCCCTCCATTTCTGTTTTTCTCTTTTCCTTGCTCATTTTTTTCTGCCTTTCTGTCACATTATGCTAAATAGAACCCAAGCGCAGACAGAAACTTTCTCAAAACACGGTATATTTATAACCGGAAAACAAAGACCCACGATGGGGCAAACAAACAGAAACTATAAGACAAGATAACTACTTGACAATATAACTGGAATATTCACAGACAGATCACAGTACTCACAGAACCGACTGTTAACTGTTCTGTTCTGTTCTGTTCTTTTGTTTTTTTGGCGGTTGGCAAACCAACTTAACGGTGCATTTACCGCCACCGACTGGGCTGGAGTGTGAATCAGGAGATATTGGAACTTAAAAAAAAAATAAAAAAAAATGATATCCTTTTTGCTAAGTCTGTATCTCTCAGAAACTTAATAACAAGGTGATAATTGTTGCAGGATGTTTTCCCTAATAAACCTTGCATTGTGAAATTATTCTGATTGACCATTCTAAGTGATTGAAAAAGCTGATTTCTTTCTTCACTGTACTTTGTGCACTGAAATAAAATATGCTCCACAGTTTCTAAATGAGTACAATGCTGGCATTTCCCTGTTGAATGTTTCCCTATTAGTTTCAATGATGAATTAAGCCCTGTGTGTCCTATTCTTAACCGTGTTATTATACTTTCCTCTCTTCTACTCCTACACTCTATTCTTCCTATACCCACTTCTGGTTGTATATTATATAAATGTCTCCCTTTATCATGATCCACCCAATACTCCTGCCATTTTGATCTTGCATAAGCTTTAATTAATATTTTAGCTTCAGTTTTGCTATATGGAACTTGTAATATTCTATTATGTTTCAATGTTTGTTTTGCAAGTTTATCGACCTCTTCATTCCCTTTCACTCCAACATGTGCAGGTACCCAGAGAAACCTGACTTTTAAATCCTTTGCTTTTAACTTATGTAAAATCAACCAAATTTTATGAATTATATCATGTCTTATGGATTTCCCAGATTTAATGCTTTCTAAAGCTGAGTAACTATCAGATATAATCACTGAATTATTTAACTCATTTCCCTCTACCACTTCCAGGGCCAACAAAATTGCAACCAGTTCTGTTGTGTATACTGATAAATTATCTGTTATTCTTTCTTGACATTTAACCCCACTGTTTGGGATAAATACTGCTGACCCAGCATGTCCTGTCTTTGGATCCTTGGATCCATCTGTAAATATATATGTATATCCAAAATAATGCATTTCCAAATACCTCTTAACAATATCCTTCACTACTACTTCCTTTGCTTTATTTTTGATCTCCTTATGAACGCCTAAATCTACTTCTGGTATAGGGAAAAACCATGGAGGAATAGGAGGGATTGAAACCGTTGAACAGTACTGTAACTTACATAACCCTATATTCTCAGCTTTCACATCACCAATCCACCCAAAACTTCTGTAATTGGACTTACTGTGTTCCCAGCATTCTTTTAAGATAGCTTTAGCTGGGTGGCTATCAACTTGTCCCCTCACATTAACCCAGTATGCCAACATCAGTTGTATCCTTCTGATGCTCAAAGGCATCTCACCCATTTCCACTTGCATAGAAGACACTGGGGAAGTTTTAAAAGATCCACTACATATCCTTAAAGCCTGAGCTTGCATGACATCCAATGCTTTAACATTAGATTCTGCTGATGACATATATGCTATACACCCATAATCAAAGACAGAACTCATTAGTGCCCAATATATATTTAGTAACGATGCCCTACTTGCTCCCCATGTTTGTCCTGATAGACATCGTAGGATATTAACAATCTTTTTACATTTATTAATCATTTTCTCCAAATGAATCTTCCATGTCAATTTTTCATCAAACCACATCCCAAGAAATCTTATAACCTTCACTTGCTCAAGAGGTTGAGCATACAATTTTAATGATACAGGTGAGATCTTGTTCTTTTTTGAAAAATATATTACTTGTGTTTTAGACACTGATAGTTTAAATCCCCATTTATTTGTCCATTTTTCAACTTCCTTAATTGCATCTTGCATTTTTGATTTAACATAAGATTCATTACGGCCTCTAAACCATAATGCTCCATCATCAGCATACAAGGATTTCCCAATTTTCTGATCAATATTTGAGAATATATCATTAATCATAATATTGAATAATAATGGGCTACACACGCTACCTTGTGGAGTTCCATTCTCAACTGTATATACCTCAGATAATTCTGCACCCACTTTTACTTGTATATTCCAGCCAGCCTCCTATTAAACAAAAATCCAAAATCCAGTTGTATACTTTACCACCAATTCCTAATTGTTGTAATTTAATTAATAACCCTTCTTTCCAAATCATATCGTATGCCTTCTCAACATCAAAGAATACTGCTATTACCACCTCCCTATTAGTCTGTGCTTTCCTAATATCTGATTCCAAACTTATTAATGAATCCATTGTACTTCGGCCCTTACGAAACCCACTCTGATACTGGGAAAAAAGGTCATTACTTTCTAAATAATAAGTCATTCTATCTGTAATTATTCTTTCCATTATTTTACACAACTGCGATGTTAGTGCAATTGGTCTATAACTAGATGGGTCAGATGGGGTTTTCCCTGGCTTTAAAATAGGCACTATAATTGCTTGTTTCCATACCGATGGAAGCTGACCAATTTCCCAAATTTTATTAAAAAATTTAAGTACTATTTCTAATGTTTCATCTGTCATATTTGCAACCATTTTATAACATACCATGTCTTTTCCTGGAGTAGTTTGTTTTGCATTAATGACTGCTTTTTTCAGTTCAAACATATTTAATGGTACATCTAATGGATTTCCTGAGTATCCTTTCTTTTCTAAAACATCTGGGAAACTTTCTAACACTTTGCTTCTATTTACTTTTGCTTCCTTAGTGAGGTTCTGAGAACTATGCACTTTCCTAAATGTTTGAGCTAAAACTTCAGCCTTTTCTAGGTTAGTGACTGCCACTGTATCACCACTATTTAATACCGGTAATTCATAATTTCTTCTAACTCCTCCCATCCTCCTTATCATTCCCCATATATCAGATAACTTTACATCCTATACCTATATTATTACAAAAATTCCTCCAAAAATTGCGCTTTTGAATCTTAATTGTTTTCCTAACTACTGCCTGCTTTCTTTTATACTCTATAAAAGCATTCTGAGAATGATATTTTTTAACATATTTAAAAGCTTTATTTCTTGCTTTAACTACTTTACTGCACTCATCATTCCACCATGGTACATTCTTACATTTCCTATTTCCTTTACTTTTAGGTATTGATTCCTCAGCTGACAATATTATTTCATTTACTAATAAATTATTAAACTCATTTATCTCTATTTCTTTAATCTCATTAAGTTTAAGACATTTTCCTGCACAGATGATCTGAAAAAGTTCCCAATTTGCATTCTCTATTTTCCATCTTGGAATACTTTTAGTCCTTTCTTGATATGTCCCTGTTCCAACTTTAATTAAAATTGGGAAATGATCACTGCCAATTGTAGTTTCCTTATCTACATTCCATGTACTAATACCTGCTATTGTATTGGACACAAAAGTTAAATCAAGTACTGATTCATTATTATTTATACAGTTAAACCGCGTTCCCTCTCCATTATTAAGACATACCAACCATTTGTCATCAATATATTCTTCTACAACTAAACCATTAGCATCTGTACTGTTGCTTCCCCATAACGTATTGTGTGCATTAAAATCCCCACACCATATTACCTCACCAATTGGTGATCCCAAGATATTATCCAAAATACTACGCTCTATTTTCCCACAAGGATTATAATAATTGATTACATCTGTAGAACCTTTACTAGTCCATATCCTTATTGTAATTGATTCATTCTTATCATTTATTTTAATAACTTCATAGCTTAAACCATTTTGAATGAAAGTTGCTAATCCTCCCCCTCTACCATTTTCTCTATCTCTTCTAACTGCTGAATATCCCTTAATAATAAAATCTAACTCTGATTTCAACCATGTTTCTTGCACACATATTATATTAGGTTTCTCTTTTAACTCATCAACATATTTCTTAAATTCCTGGCCGTTTGCTATCAAACTTCTAGCATTCCATTGAAGTATGCCTACATTTACCACCATTTAATCTACACCAACACTGTGCTGGGTAGACTGAGGATCTGTATTTAGGTTATCCCTAACTGTTTCCCAAACCATTCCTTTTAACCCCAAATATTTTTCAGCTGCTTTCACAATAATTGTAATCCTTTCGGTGCGACTCTTTGTCTGTGCAGAACAATTGATAATTTCAACCATAAAAATCACAAAGTCATGTTTGCTGACAACTAAATTGTCTTCCCTTGTCTTTCCATCATCTTCATTTGTTGTCATTTCCATTGCCCTCATTTTGTTGTTTTATTACATTCACTCTGGGGACTAGCTTAACTGCTTCGGAATAGCTAATACCTTCAGTTACCTTGATCCTTTGCACCTCTTTGGCTCTCTTACTACATTCGCAGCCCTGATATGCTGCACTATGCTCCCCTCCACAATTACAGCATTGATTGCGAACTTTGTCACATTCATCATAGTCGTGTTCTCCTCCACACTTACTACACCTCTTCTTTCCTTTACATACAGCCGCGATATGCCCAAACCGTTGACATTTGTAACACCGAAGTGGTGGAGGGATGTACAACTTAACCGAATAACTCATAAAACCAACAAGAACCTTGTCTGGTAACGTTTCCCCTTCAAACGTAAGCACAACCGATAAGCTGTCGCAAATATCTCCAAATCTTTTAGTTTTGAGTCTTTTAGCTTCACATACTTTAACATGCTTAATGTTTGCCATTATATCATCTGCCTGTACATTTACCGGAATGCCGGTAATGACTCCTCAAACTAACTTTTTATCATTAGCCTTTGAACATTGTACTAATTTTCCATGGATTTTACTCATCTTGACTGCTTTTTTGCATTGTTCTTCGCTTTTACAAAAAATCAGTAATTGTCCATCTCTTAGTATTTTTGCACTTCTTACCTCTCCAATTTCTTTACTTAGACCTTTTGTAAGTTGAATCGGATTCCACTCTCTGACTGTGGTACCTTCTTGCCCCAACTTAACAAATACCTTAAATTGTTCCCCATCATCCTTTAAAGAAGCCATTTCACTACAATTAGTTGAATTTCTCTTTTTCCTTTTTATTTGATTAATTTTCCACTCTTTGTTACCCTCGTTGTCTTCCAATTCTCCAGTGCTCCTCAACTCTCCTGTCTCACTACCTACTTCGTCACTTCCTTCCTCCATCTCCTGATCATTCTCAGCCCAGCTGTTGCCATCCACCTGACACGACAGTCTCCGTTTGCGCTGACGTCCACCACGTCCACCCGTCATACGCAGCGCCAGCGAGTCCTGCTCCTACGGCCTTCCGAGCCACACGTCAGTCGCATGCCTGGACCACCGACTGTTAACAAGACGAACCAGCACTAATGAACAAACACTGAAAGCTTACATAGAACAAAACCACAAAGGTACAGGTGGCACTGATTAACATCAATACTAACGAGGGAACAAGGGGCGTGGTAAGGACACGTGATCACAATCACAGGTGACACGGATAGGCTACAACATAGACTAACAAGGAAACGAGGTAACACAAGACAATGCAAACACATAGCCCAAAACAACCAGCCATGTGCTTGCACAAAAAACAAATACATGACACTTTCTCTCAAACGAAGAGCGTTACTGATGCGAGCTGAAGCTGATGTGATGGCCTGTTTATATAAAAAAACATTATCAATGCAGACCCAATCTGTCGTTCTTCACTGCAGACCAGAAGCATACGTTACATGAATTCCAAGTGTTCAAGGGCTTAGTGCATTCCATTTAAACCTAAGCAATGACTCACATTGAGGAGTGAGTGAAGTTCATACAAATAAGTTAAGTGGAACACAGCCCTTATCAGTAAGCAGAAGTTTCAACACACTTCCTGTTTCCCTCTTTCTGCCATAAATTTGTTGCCTTGCCGCAGCCAAACCGTTCAAGACATAAAAAACCTGTTCGTGAATTAGCATCCTCCTCAATGTTTTTACTTCATGCTGATCAGTTCGGTGGTGATCAGATAAATCCCCTAGGAGAACATGCTTTTTTCAAACAACCCACAATAGCTAACTTCCTGTGTGGTGGGCACACAGAACTGAGCGCAAAAGTTGTTCGGTCAGAGGAGATCCATAATGAATTTTGTAGGTGAAAAGGGGTGCGCTACAGAGGCCAGCATATACAACCATTTAGAAGGTGTCAATCCATTTTTATTTGATAGATCCCACTGTCAGACAGTTTTGATATGTACAAATACATTTTAAACATAAAAACATCAGAGTTTTAACATTTCTGACGTTTCAGAAAATAACATAATATTATTGTTTAAAGTAAACCAATGAGCATTAAGCTGTATCAACAGCAAGTGTCTAATGGTGTGGAGGGATAGAGTTGTTGGGAGAGTTGTGTGCTTAGATTTTCTAGCTCCACCCATCAGGCCCAAATAACATTCGCTCCTCCCTGGACATAAGCTCCACCCGTTTGCTCTGCAGTGAGCAGCACTTGAGCGCTGGTGTTTATTCACACACTGACTGCAGAGTTACACACACCAGACCAGCAGCACAGTCCGTTTCAGCTCTTCTGTTGCTGTATTACCAAACGTTCATCGTTAATTGTGACATTTATGTTTTGTTTTTTTCATTTGTTTGTGTTTAAATCTAGCCTTTACAAAATTAGAAACTGTTGTTATTTGAACCATTCACCAAAATGCAAAAGAAAATATCTGAAGCATTTATATTCTTCTGTTGGTGCTTATGGAGTCTGAGTGGTAAGTCATTAATTTTCAAGTTTTGTCAGACAGATAATCGATGTTTGTTCATTTTGTTACTTTATCATTTTTTTTTTTTATCCATGACATCAAAGGGTGTCAACTATTGGCATTTTTTAAATATACATTGAAATTAATGAAGTGAAGAGTTGTTTTGCAATGATACATTTTCAAATTGTTTCAAATTGACAAAAATCTGGTAAATCTCCAAATGTGGTAAACCTGAGTAAATTGTGGGTGAATATTTCTGTGTGTTCAGGAGTGTTTGGTGTTGATGCCGTGAAGTCAGTGTCAGTGACTGAGGGAGAATCTGTCACTCTAAACACTGATACTGAAATACAGACAGATGAACTGATAATGTGGAGAACTGGACACAACAGTCTCATAGCTAAAATCAAAGGAAATATCTTGGAGAGATTCAGAGACAGACTGACACTGAATGAGAAGACTGGATCTCTGACCATCACAAACACCAGAACCACAGACTCTGGACTTTATAGAGTCATCAGCACCAGATCAAAGATGCCGCTCAACACATTCAATCTTACCGTCTACGGTGAGTAGAGAATTACTACCATGTTTATTTTATATAGGCCTAAATATACACTGCTATTCAAATATTTGGGATATATAGGCTTTTTTTATGTTTTTGAAAAGAAATCTCTTATTAGATAAAAAAAAAATAGTCAATATTATGACAATTTAAAACAACCGTTTTTCATTTGAATTTTTAAATGTAATTTATTTCAGTGATCAAAGCTGAATTTTCAGCTTCATTACTCCAGTCTTCAGTGTCACATGATCCTTCAGAATCATACATGATCAAAAATCATACTAATTCAGGTTTCTTTTATGAACATAAAGTTCTATTTAATTTATTTAAATACAATATTTTGTTACATTATATATGTCTTTAATGTAACTTAAAAAAAGGTTGACCCCAAACATTTGAAGTATAATGTTACAAAAATAGAAAACAGTTATTTTAAATTGTAATAATGTTTTACAATATTACTTATAATATAATATTAATATTAATATACTATATTTATACTAATACTAATATTATATTAAATACTAATATTACAATATTAATATTACTTTTTTTTTTATCAAACAAATGAAGCCCTGGTGATCATAAGAGAAATTTAAAAGCTTCTTAAAAATTATTAACAAAAAAAAAGTAAAATGTTACTGCTCACAAACTTTTGTGTTTGTGTGTCCCAAATGTTTGTGTGTGCGTGCAGGTTGGTCTTTTAAAAATGTGTAATATTCATGATTACTGAGAAGATTATAAAATTATATAAAGACAATTCTGTGATGAAAAAAAATATATGTGCTTTTATGCATTCTTATAATTACATATTTTAATAATATACATTTGATACCATTTGTTTCTCACATTCATTCAATTTGAATTTTAATGAACTGACAAATATCACAGCACTCTATAGTCTATACTGAATTAGATTTATTCTGTTTTCAAGCTCGCCTGCCTGTTCCTGTCATCAACCATTCTTCAAAACAATCATCATCATCATCATCATCAAACTGTTCATTGCTGTGTTCAGTGTTGAATGAGAGTGATGCGACTCTCTCCTGGTACGCAGGAATGAGTGTATTGTCCAGCATCAGTTTGTCTGATCTCAGAGTCAATCTCTCTCTACCTCTGGAGATTGAGTGTCTGGATGATGCGTACAGCTGTGTGATCAACAATACCATCAGCACCCAGACCACACATCTCAACACTGAACTCTGTGGGCCATGTTCAGGTGCAGGTACATATAGCCTATATAAAGAACTGATTTCATTTCTACTGATAAGTATTTTAATTTCCCTTAAAAACCACTATACTTTTCCTTTAAAAAACTCCCTCCTAGGCTATTTTTGGTTTAATATTCTCCAAAATATGCACACAGCAGCTTGGGATGGTGCTAGCAAAAATTTATCAAAATAATATCTAGCTGTCAAAGTGTTATAAGTTAATTGATTGGTCGGGAAACATTCAAATTCTTTTTACACAAGTTGACCTATATCCAAGCGTAACAAAATTTGACTCACAAAGACAGTTACGGTGTGTGCAGGCAGGCAGATGAAGATAAAAGTTTACTTATAATTCAAGGTAGCAGAAATACACACACACACACACACATATAGATATAAACATGACCGTACAATGAACGACTGTAAAGGAGAAACTTAAGTAGCCTACTAAATACAAACAAGGTACTTAATGACATCTGATAGACATTAATTCATATTGACAGAAACCATGACGACCAAGGAATGGAGGGAATATGAACAAAGGAGAGTAAACAAACTCAAAGTCCATGATTAGGCTACTAAACAAACAGAACTCGATGTTGACATTCTGATGACGATGTTAAAATTTTGATAAATGGGGCTGCCACAAATAAAAAAAAAACATAACTGTTACATTATTTGGTAACACTTTAGAATACTGTATCTTACTTACTGCAGAATTAATAAGGAATTATTGACGAACTAATAGGTAATTCTTCATTAACTACTTCTTCACTACTGTTAACTACTAAGGAAGATGTGTTAACTAATCAGTATGTAATATAATTTTATAATTGTGTTAAGTATCAGTTAGTTAATCAATAACTAATGAATTCTGTCATACCTCCTGAAGAACTACTACTAATTATCTACTAATTAAGGTTCAAGAAAAATAACTAAGAAGTAACTACTGAACAGTCATACAAAACTAACCTCAGATTATTTGTATATTTTATATATAGTACTGTGTGTGTGTCTGTTTTCCTCAGCATAGAATGCCACTGAGTAAATTCATGTATTTGAGGCAACAACTGAGGGAAACTGAAAATGTAGAGAACTTATTAGTAATTAATAAATAAGTATCAAATAATTCTGCAGGAATTACTTAGAAGCTGGAACAGTATTCTAAAGTGACAATATAGGGAACCCATTAGTAATTAATAAAGAATTATCAAATAATTATCTAGGAATTAGGCTACTCATAATCTGAAACAGTCTTCTAAGGTGAAAATATAAGGAACTTATTAGTAATTAATAAATAACTTTTAAATAGTTCTTCAGGAATTACTTAGAACCTGGAACAGTATTCTAAAGTGACAACACAGGGAACCCATTAGTAATTAATAAATAATTATCAAATTAATTATCTAGGAATTAGGCTACTTATAACCTGAAACAGTCTTCTAAAGTAAAAATATAAGGAACTTATTAGTAATTAATAAATAATTATTAGATAGTCCTTCAGGAATTACTTAGAACCTGGAACAGTATTCTAAAGTGACAATATAGGGGACCCATTAGTAATTAATAAAGAATTACCACATACTTCTGACTCAAATCAAACTTACTGTAAACTTTACTGTAAACTTACTAAAACCTTATAATAATAAGGTGTAATATACATGAGATGTTTTGCTTATATGCAGATCATAGCCTATAGGTAAATGTCTGCACTTATTTTTCTTATTAGTGCTGAAGAATGACAAACTGACTACTGTGTATGACTGTTAATTAGTAGTTACTTCATAGTTATTTTTCTTGAACTTTAATTAATAGATAATTAATAGTAGTTCTTCAGGAGGTATGACAGAATTCATTAGCTATTAATTAACAAACTGATACTTAACACAATCATAAAATTGTATTACATACTTATTAGTTAACACATCTTCCTTAGTAGTTAACAGTAGTGAAGAAGTGGTTAATGAAGAATTACCTATTAGTTCTTCATTAATTCCTTATTAGTTATGCAGTAAGTAAGATACAGTATTCTAAAGTGTTACCCATTATTTTATATTAGCCTAGCCTATATACATTCACAAACTAAAATATAGCCGCAAGCACCAGTCACAGTTGTCAATAGCTTTCAAACTGAAACGTGTCTTATGATGTGGTTTTAACAGAAAAGTCCATCTTGAATCTTCAATGATAGTTAAACTGGAAGAATTGAGAAATTAGAAAATGCCGGGCAGTCTGGTTGAGATTCGACCACTCCGTGAGAAGACAAAGAACCTTTCTGGAAATCCACACTCAAGAACTAGCATTCCCGAGTCAAACGCCTACCCCATGTCGCCTCTCAGATATTCACCCAAAAATTGATATGGTTTAATGTGAATAATTATCATACAGTATATTATACAAGTTTGGTATCATTTGAAATGTCTCAGTGCGACTGGTACAAAGGCATTATTCCCAAATAAGTAAACCTTAAGGTAATACAGTCTTTCATAGACTCAGCATCTATTTCTTGAGTCATGTACAGCTTTATCTCTGATCATTTGATATTGTATTGACTATCTTTGAACTGATTATGAAATTGGCATGATACATTTACCTGACATAATACATTTGAATTTATTCCAAATAACTCTGAAATTATTTTCTCAAGTAGATTAAGAAAAGTCTTGTGTTACCGCAAATCTGTGTCCAAGATTAAGTTCATACTAGATCCCAGTGTGGATGGAGCGTGCTGTGTGAGTCACATGTGGGATTCTAGATTCCTGACTAACTGCTTGACTTTAACTAAGTTGTTATGCAGTCGCAAATAGGGGGCTAGATATCCTACATACTATTAAGAAAATAGAAAGCGTTGTAGCAACATTATCATAATGTTCTAGCCATAACCTATGGTTATTGTTTGGGCTTTGAGTAAGTTGTTATGGGGACTGTAGGGGGCTACATGGGCATTTTTTTATTTTTTTTTACAATAGCAAGCGTGTGTGGTGGCACTGTTGAACTGCTTTAGCCATAAAAATAACTATAGCCTCTAGTTATCTATTAGACTGGCGAGATTGTGAGACAGCAATAGACTCTCTTAGCGACATAATGAACAAAATATAAAGTAAAGAGTTAAATAGAATAATTAAATGTATTGCTAAACTATTACGTAAATAATTGGCCGATAACCAATTGGCAATCTAACCTAAATTCAAGGTTGTGATAAATGGGAGTCAGGTAAATGCTTAAATTGAACTAAATTACTTTGCCACACTGGAAGACAGTAACACGCAGAGACCTTCACCTTATCGGAAACTGTCGTTGGACTGATTTAGAAAGACTTTCAAGGATTTGATAAGAGCAGGTTACCACAATAGTGTATGGTCAAAAAAAAAAACATACAAAAAAAACACAACTGACTTCCCTGAAATCACTGAAATCACTCCCTCTTACTGTTAGATTAAAAGGGAAGTAAAAAATAAAAACAAAAAACCTTTATAAAATGTTTACTTTTTTAAGTGTGTGCATATAACATGTAACATGATTCCTATGTGTGGAATCATATCATTTCTACATTTAGATGATTCACATGTCATAGAAAGTCAATAGGACATTTTCAAATGATCGTGAATATCACGTTGCGGCTCAAAACTTTATTTATCTGTAGCATTTATCTCAAAGCTCTTTTCATTTTTATCATGAATTTCTAGCATTTCTAACCTTATGCTTGCAGTTTAACACATTACACATGAGTAGTAAAAATGTGTATTATTGGGATCTGAAATTTGTGAACAGATCTATTAGCATTTCACAGACTTGTGTATACACTCATAAAAAAGTATTCTGTCAGTTGACCATATACAAATAAACTAGATCAATGTTTCCATTGAATCTGATAAATAAAACTTTTTTTTATAACTTTTTTGCCAGCAATGTCTCTAGCTGCTGTGTGCATATTTTGGTGATGATTGGACCAACAGCACAGGAGGAATTTTAAAAAGTCGTAAAAATAAATAAAATAAAAATAAAGACAGTTGAAGAAAATGATTGGCTAAATTGAAATTAGAGATCATTTGTCAAGCTTGAAAAATACAACCTTAAGGTTAAGGTCAACCTAGTGTCAGACAGGTGTGTATCTGTACACGGCTGAGACCATCCTGCACTCTCAGAAAAAAAGGTACAAAAGCTGTCACTGGGGCTGTACCTTTTCAAAGGGTACACTTTTGTACCTTAATGGTACATATTAGCACTTAGAATGTACATATTAGCACCTTGAATGTATATATTAACACCTAAAATGTACATTACAGCACCTAAAATGTACATTTTAGCACCTAAAATGTACATATTATGACCTAAAATTGACATATTAGGACCTAAATGGACATATCAACACCTAAAATAGAAATATCAACACCTAAAATGCACATTAGGACCTAAAATGTACATATTAACACCTAAACTGTACATATTAACACCTAAAATGTACATATTAGGACCTAAAATGGAAATATCAACACCTAAAATGTACATATTAGGACCTAAAATGGACATATCAACACCTAAAATGGATATATCAACACCTAAAATGCACATATTAGGACCTAAAATGTACATATTAACACCTAAAATGGACATATCAACACCTAAAATGTATTAGTACCTGAAATGGACAAAAGTTAACCTATTGAAAAGGTACAGCCCCACTGTGACAGCTTCGTACTTTTTTTTCTAAGAGTGTGGGGGTGTCTGCGTTTTATGGCCCATTTACTTTACCTTCGGTGTAAAAACCCTAAAGAATCGTGTTTAACATTGCTCATTTCTTCTATCACAAGATTTCAACTGCTGGTGTGGTTTCACTGAAGCTGTGATCCGATTGGCTCTCTCTGCTCTGGTGGGTGTGGCTGCTGTTGCTGTTCTGGTTTATGAATTTAGATCCTGAAGTCTTCAACAGAAGAAGAGAGAGCAAACGCCATCAGACTCTGATTAATCAGATACTCAGGAAGGTGGAGATGTTACTGAAAAACTGTAGACATTATATTACATTTTTTTCCAGTTTCAATCAGTTGTTTATATTACTTTTCACAATACAAATCATTCTAAAGCAGATTTTAAACCATTCAGCATTACAATATACACTGACTAATCAGAAAATCAAAAGGTGTAATTATTCATATATTTTTTTTTTTGTATTCTGGTGTATTTGTATTAATGTAAGATTTATAGCAACATATTACAAAATAAAATAGTATAATAATATATTGTCTCTGTTTCATTGTATTAATGACAGCACATAAAATGTGGTGACATCACTATGTGGTGATGTTTTTAATGTGAACAGACAGTCTTTAATTATGGAAATCATTTCTTTTGACTACAACTGTTTTACGTTTGTTAGAGTATTTTATTTTAAATGAGTTTTTCAGCTCCAGACCTTGTGATCCAACTCCCATAATGTTTTCCATGTCTCTCCATTCAAAACACTTAAAATGCTGATGAGTTGCAGCAGGCGTTTTAATTAGTGAGACATCAAAAACATTCTAGAAGGTGCAGAGCTGGAGTTCAGAAATACAGAATTGGTAGACATGTTTAATTGCTACACAACTTTTAACCTTCTTAGCCTACTTCAGTCATTTCTGTCCAGATTTTTTTATGGTTCTTGGTATATGAACACACAAAAAAAATTGGGGACATGATTTGAAAAGTCTAAGTGGTCATAAAAAAAATAGTCACACTCAGGACCTTCGGGTCAAAAACGACGGCCATAGGAAATGGGAAATGGGAAATTGACAAAAATGCGAAAAGTCTGAGAATTTTTGTGTTTACAATCTACAAATTGGCCACGATGCAGAAAAAGTGTTCAACAATGAAGGGGTGACACTCTAAAACAGCAAGAGTGCAAAACAGACATACTCACCCAAACATTCACAACAATGAATTTTGACTGACCATACAAATGGGAAATTGACAAACACAAATTCTCTACAAATCGGCCACAATGCAGAAAAAAACATCAATAGTGCAAAACATTATATATATATATATATATATATATATATATATATATATATATATATATAATAATTAATATAGGCTAATGTTTAAAAATAATAATAAATTAATGTTTAATAATAAATTAATGTTTAATAATAATAATAATAATATAAATAATAATAATAAGCTGTGAAAAAGCATTACTGTTTATTTTTTTATTGAATTGTAATGTTACCTGCAACAAAATGCTTTCTCTGTATTCAGGTTTGACTGTATAGTAATAATGCTAAAACGTGTACACTTCACATCAAATTTATTTAATTTTATTTTTAATATAATAAAATGGCAAAAAGTATTATTTGAGAATTTCAAAAAAAAAAAAATACATTCAAATCCACATCTTAAAAGTTGTCCAAAAACAACTCACAAGCCTCTCCATAAACTACAGTGGTTAAAAATTAAACTTTTTTTTAAATTATTAGCATGCTTTTAGTGTCAATACATTCAAATGAGACAAATAACTCCAATCACTTAGATAATGACAGTAATTTAACATTTAAATCTTTCTCATTTCATATTTTTGTTGGTAAAACATCCATCTATCTATTTTCTGGACCTTCTTGGTGTGAGGCGACAACAATCAGAACTGAATGTCAACAATATGCAATTTCATAACATGAAATATTCACAAACCCTTACACCTAACCTCTTAAAATAGCCTATTGAACAGAAGGGATGGGGACATTAACAGTAACTCTTATAATCGTAGTGGTGTGTGTGTAGCCAACGTCGACGAGCATACAGAATCCGTTGATGATGTCGAGGCTACACTGGACTAGAAAACGCGACACGACAATCCTCGATAGAAAACAGATGAACAGTTCTATATCTGTTGTATTTCAACACTTACCCTACCTCTTAAACAAAGGAAAACATACGAAGAGTTCAGATGCAAAAGCCTCTAAATGCCATTTGAAATTTTCTTCTAAAATGACCATTTTTTATCAAGCTTGTAGCTATATTTAAGTTCAGTAATTTCACTTAAATAACAATTAATAGCTAATCTTCATTGCCATTTATGTGAAATCACTGAACTTAAATATACAAGCTTGATACAAATGATCATTTTAGAAGAAAATTTCAAATGGCACTTAGAGGCTTTTGCATCTGAACTCTTCATATATTTTCTACGTTCTGTCGCGTGCAGTTTTGACAGTTTTGAGCTTTTGTAGCACTGTAGACGCGGTACGTGATTACTTGGTGAAAGTATTCGCTGAAATAGGTCTATTGTCTATGAAAACACACACACACACACACACACACACACACACACACACACACACACACACACACACACACACACACACACACACACACACACACACACACACACACAAAACACAAAACACATCTGTAAAAGGAGGGAGGGGTTTAATCACTTTACTGTAGAGTTTCAGTAAACCGCTCCATTAGACCGGCAGCTCTGTTAACTTCAGCTCATCCAACACGTTGAACGCTCATCCAAAGAAAATATTTGACATGTTGATGATATTCTGTTTGTGCTCGTGGAGTCTGAGGGGTAAGTATTTTTTATGTCTTCGTTTGTGTTTATAATAGCCTATATTTGTCAAAACGTATACGGATCTGTACCCTTTACAAAAAAGAATTGATTTTTTTTTAGAAGTAATCTGCAGTTTTTGTTATATGTAGAAATATGCAGTTTTTTGGACACGAAAAAACTGCAATATTGCAGTAGGCCTATAGCTGGAGTACAACGTTCAGTTGTAGGCTACTACAATAATACTGCAATATAACTGCAGTATTTCTGATATGAAGTAGTACTACAATAATACTACAGTAATCACTGCTGCACTGATAGCACTATAATACTGGTAGTAGCCTACTGCAATATACAGTAGGCTACAATAACAATATTACCGAACGCAATCATAAAATGATGTACAATACCATTGAAATACAACCAGAATATCCACAGAATAAGTTTCATTTCCACACATCTGCGATTAATTAAGGTACAAAACAACAGTGATCTCAAACTTCAATGCAACAAATAATGTGTTTTTACTTTTTTAACTTCAAATAACACGCTGGGAGTTAGACAACAATGTATTTAAAGTGTTTATATACAAATCATGCATATATCTTCCCCCACATTATTCAAAGAAGTTGCGTTTTTTTTTTTTTTTTTTTTTTTTTTTGAAGAGCTTATTCTCATTATTCCACTTTGTTCTTTTAACTGTCTTCATCTCACATATGGAAACACGATTTTGGATGTTGTCTCGAAAAACAAACAAAAATAATCAGAGACACTCTTTTCAGTTACACTCTTCACCACAGGCATATATTATTATGCTTAAAATGAATCCGCAAGTTAATCTCTTAAAGGAACACGCCACCGTTATGTTTTAAACAGGGGTTATTCTATGGAATTAATATTGTGCCATAATTAAACAAATCCAGCATTTTGCAAACAAACTCGATCTGCTTTGCAAGAGAAAACTCGACTCGCAAACAAACAGAAAGCAATGTAGGTACAAGTTAATTTCTAGCAAAAATGCAGTGTGTTTTGCAAATATAAATAAATGTCCCTAATATTTCACAAATAAATACAAACCATCCTACAAATTGCATGTAACCTTTGAACGAATAGCAAATAGCAGTTATTACAATTGGCTTTTTATGAGATCTCTCTCAGCACGATTTTCTCACAAATGCAGTTGAGCGACTTCCTCTTGTAAACAGCAGATGGCGCTAAGCCAGGGGGTTAATTTAGCCTATAGTCTCCTGGGAGAACCACTGATTTGAAACATGTGCTTGCCTTTGCATACAGCTGTGGAAAATCACCAGTGAACAGATGTGTTTCTGTCTCACTTTATCTATAATTAATATTTTGAGGTTTTCTTTTGCAAAATGTTATTACAGACAGAAATCCACATTTAGCACTTAGTAGCGCCTCACTTAATTTCTAGCATGGGGGAATCTATAAACTGAAAGCTCTGCCATCATGTTGCTTTTGTATATTTTTGTAAATATTACATTTACTGAAAGAGTCCCTTTCTTTTGTTCTCCCTAAATTAATTAGAAAATTTCATTTAATTGAAAGGAGGGTTTCAATTGTCCAAAATAATAATTTGGGCACTGAATACGTATGTCATGCAGGTTAAGAAACAATTGTATATTGTTTGTTTTGTTCATTCATTATTTTATTACATTAACAGTTAAGCTGACTGAATTCCAACTAAATAGCCTATAGCCTACATAAGCGGGACTCTCCTTTCAATTAAATTAAATGTTCTCATTAATTTATGATGAATGAAAGAAATAGATCGTTCAGTAAATGTAACGTTTTCACAAAAATGTGCGGACGGACGTCAGTTGTAAGACCTAGGAGCAGATATGATGAAAGAAGACCATGAGTCGTGAAATTCAATCAAATAAGTAACATTTTACTGAAGAATAGTTTGCAGTTAAATTGGTTGAGCCAATGTCAAAGTCACGAGGAGGTCCTGAGCCAACTACACAAAAATCTCACACAATTATACTTTTTCCAAGCACATGCATTACACGATCATTGACTTCTGATTGGCTAAGACAACACAAAGTCTAAACAATAATAAATTTGTGATAGATAAGTGGATATATAGCCAATAATCAGAATATTTGTCGTCCATTTCCAAGATTCAAGTCTGTGGTGACCTTCTTCCAGGATGAGAATGTTGTATATCACAAAGTTCAGAACCTCCAAAGAATATCAAACAAACACACACACTGACAAACAAGTCAACTAAGACAAGATATTTGGATATTGTTATGAAATATTTAATTATGATATTCTACTCATGGCTTTTGGAATATGAAGTATTTATGGGGCATAATAAGCCACAACTGTAACAAATAAAAGTGCTTTTACCATGAACGATATCATAGTTGTTAAACAATTTATTAAGAAAGTGTTGAATGTAAAACACCTGTATTAATAATCATAGTAACCAGAAAATATTTTATTAAGAAAAACACCCGCCGCCTCTCACCATGGGCAACTCCAGAGTGGTGAAGAGTCCATCCTCTCGGGCATCCATCTCAGGCTCCTTCCCGCCAGTGAGGTGACGTTCCACGTCCCTAAGGCTAGATTCCGTGTCCAGGG